ACACTTGCCCATTTGTATTTCAGTGGTGTATTGTGCAAGAGGCCACTGCAGGTCTGATTTATGGTGATTATCTTTCCGTATCCCTTTGTCATTGCGGATTCTCATCATCAGTTTTTTTGTTGCATTTAGTTTCTACATTGGAGTATTTTTTTTCTTCTTTTTTTTTCTTTCAAATAAAGAGTCTGCCTAAACTTTTTATTTATGATTTTCCATAAGAGGAGATACTCTATTGATTACATTAAAAAATAATGTAATTACTGAGAACTGATAGGCTTCAAATCATTTGACATTTAGGTGATGCTGCACAGTGAGGTACTCACTTCTGTATACTCTATGCATGAATGTATGTAACACTAACACTAACACCAACATTAACTGGTCCACCAACACAGAGGCTGTCTACAAGAAGGGCCTGAGCCAGCTCCATGTCCTCAGGATGCTCAGGTTCTTTAATGTGTGCAACTGGATGCTCCAGATGTTCTATCAGTCTGTTGTGGCGAGTGCTATCTTCTTCACTGGGGTGTGCCGGGGCGCAGGCATCAAAGCGAAGGACGCCAACAGACTGAACAAACTCATCAGGAAAGCCCAGTCTGTTGCTGGCTGTCAGTTGGTCACCCTGGAGGAGGTGGTGGAGCAGAGGATGCTGACCAAACTGCAGGTCATCATGAACAACACCTTGCACCCCCTCCAAAAAAACTGTGGACAATCTGAGGAGCAGTTTCATCAACAGACTGCTACAACCCCACTGCTCTAAGGAACGTTACAGGAGGTCATTCCTCCCGACAGTAATTAGACTTTTTAATGCTTCAATCTAAGCACATTTGCATGTTCTGTCCACTTGCACATTTCTGTTATCTCTGATATATTCTTGTAAATTTTTTCTGCATTATATTTTCTATATTTTTATCTTATTTTATTTTACTTTATTTAACCTTCATTCTATACCCTACCGTAATATTCTGTGTTGTCTTTTTGCTTTGTTTACCCCTTTGTTGAATATTGCTGCTGTAACAACAGAATTTCCCTCTGAGATTAATAAAGTCAGTCTCAGTCTAAGTCTAACTTCTGCAAACACTTGCACCGGCATGCACATACAAGTATATGTACAGCACGGATACACATAATACCCACATATACAAACGTGTATTTATACATAATACAGAATGTCATGAATCTATAGCCTGATAAAGCATCATGCTTCATAAGTGAAGCTCTGTGGTTTATATTAATGTGCACTGTGTTAGTTAGACTATATATAATGAATGTTGGTGAGTAAGTAGAATAGATTACAATATTCAAGTATCTCAAAAGCAGAATTTTAGAGGCAGTAAACGTGCTCTCTTGTCTGTGGCTGAGCAGTGAACGCCCACTGATTTCAGAGATAAGCTGCTGCTGGATTCCGGGCCAGCAGGGGGCGTCACTTCTTTGGAGTCACATCGCTGCTTCGCCGGGCGGGATTTCCGCAATAATATCAAGTATGGCGAAAACATACGACTATTTGTTTAAATTACTGTTAATCGGCGACTCCGGTGTCGGGAAGACATGCGTCCTGTTCAGGTTTTCAGAAGACGCCTTCAACTCAACGTTTATCTCAACAATAGGTGCGTTTTTTGGGGGATGTGCGCTGTGTCATTCTGTGTGTTTACAGTACGCCGATGGTCTGTCTCTGCGGGGCCGTCTACTTGCTGGCATGTTAGCTATGCAATATTAAAGACTTGAAGTAACTACGTTTTCTATGTCCTTGATAAACAATTACAGTAATATATTTAACCAGTTCGTAGGGTATGGCATGGAGAAATTGCGTTCATGTATGTTTGGTGTGGGACGCTTGTATTAGTGAACATATATGTGTTGTATTATAAACTCATGCCGGTGGCTTTCCTGCCTGCTAGCATTAGCAGTTAGCCAAATAGCTCTAACGTTAGCCTTTATGACCCGTCTACATTCTGCCAAGGCACCGGAAAGCCCGTTATGTATTATTGTTGATTAACACACCCATTGTTAAAGCACGGTTCGTCTTTAATACACTTATTACTACCATTTGTCGTTTATTTCGAGTCCACATATGTCATTTTTGTCACCGCTAAGCCAGTTAGTAAGAGTATACTAAGCTAGCAAGCTAACGGTATGATTGACATGCATGATCCTTCTTTATCCCTGTAGGCATTGATTTCAAGATTAGGACAATAGAGCTTGACGGCAAGAAGATAAAGTTACAGATATGGTAAGTTTAATTCCCTTGATGCTGGAAATGTGACATAATGACAGCGATTTGTCAATATTTGCCTGCCAAAGTATGGTTGATGCACTTCACTCAAATTAAGGGGTGTCCACAGACCTGGATCTGAAACAATCTTGAAGTTTTTTTCGCCTTGTTTTGTTTTTTAAATAAAATGTTAATTATACTTTTGATCAATTTTCTTCACTCTTTATCTATACTTTATGTTTTCAATGTCAAAATGACAGGTGCTATGACCTATAACATTTATAAATTCAGTGCTTTAGGTATGAGATACCTCTATATTGACCTATTCAAAGATTTATACTTCCATGCTACATGAGCTCCTGTTGGAAAAAGTCTAAGATGAACTGGATTATTCATATTTGCCTAAAAATGATGGAAACTATTACTATTAACAATAATTTCTCCAAACACTGTTGCTGCAATCACATTAGTATGTTTTTTATTTAATAATTGCGTTTCAAAAAAGAGCAAGGGTGAAAAGTAATTCAATAGATTTCCTGGACGACACAAAAGCTGCCAGCATTGACAGAAGAACTGCTTGTTATTCACTGTCCGTGTTGAATGAAGTTCTGGTTTTCAAAGCTGATGTCATTGTTTTCTTCTGGTAACTATTATGTGGAAGAAATCAGGGTGGTGACAGTTTAGACCAGTCAGAAAGTATACCTTGCTCATCGTTTTCAAAAGTCTCTGTTTCTGCCCATCAAGACTAAACCTGGAGTTTTCAAACTAAAACAGAGCCAGCAGCATTTTGTAAATTCTCAGTTTTAGAGGTCGTAAAACTCTGGAGTCGTGTGGATGTACACATGGCAGATGATCCGTGTCATAAAATGAAAATGCAACAGTGTGAATGTAGCCTGTGTTTGATGTTTGTTCTTAAACTCTGTATGTCACGTTCTTTTAGGGATACAGCAGGTCAGGAGCGCTTCCGAACCATCACAACAGCCTACTACAGAGGGGCAATGGTGGGTGTCTTCACAGGCAAACATGACTCATGCAACACTTTAGCCATATTGATCCCAATATGTGGTTTACTGTTCTTTACAGGGCATCATGCTTGTCTACGACATCACCAACGAGAAGTCTTTTGATAATATCAAGAATTGGATAAGAAACATAGAAGAGGTATATGCTGGTCCACATATCACTCCATTTACTGTACATGCTTGCTACTGCTTTACAAGCGTGAATGGCACCATGTAGCATTTTTTTAATTACATTTCTCATTTTTAACCCAGCATGCATCAGCTGATGTTGAGAAGATGGTTCTTGGCAACAAATGTGACATCAATGACAAGCGGCAGGTGTCCAAAGACAGGGGGGAGAAGGTGAGACTGAAGTTAAAATAATACCTGGTCAAAGGATTATATGTGATAATATATAATTGAAGTTATGCATTGTTATACGGATATGAGATGAAACAGCATGTCAGAACAATTGGTGAAGTGTAATCCATGTCATTTCCTTCACTTTTTCTTTTAGCTTGCACTAGAGTATGGGATCAAGTTTATGGAAACCAGTGCAAAGTCCAACATCAATGTGGAAAACGTAAGCAGCCACTGTTTCTTGAGGATAATGGTGTATTTTTCTTGAGTCCCTTTAGTTTTTCAGTTAGATGTATCATAGATGATCACTGAAACTTAAATTCTAATTAACATTTTATCAAGAATACAAGCCACAGTTAGTTTTAAATGTGTAATACAACTATATACACTTGGATGTATCATTTATGTTGAATCTCAACCTGTTTCCATTGTTCCTTATGTCCTATTCATTTGAAAATCAAGCTCCTATATGTTGTTATTGAGAGGAAATCTGGTTTTACTTGCCTGAATCGAACTCTTCTGATCTACGTCACACGAGGCAGTCATATTGATGAGGACTATGAGGAGTTGTTTAGATGAATAGTCCTCGTATTTTGCCATTTTCTGTCATGCGTTCACTTTTCAGTTACGTCATCAGCAGGTTATAGAGCGCACCCCACATTCAGTCTTTTGCTGGACACTATAACCCAAACTGCAGCTCTTTTAATTGATTGTCAGCTTTCCTACTGTCTGTTTTATCAGTGTAGTGGTTAAGTTAAAGCAAGCAATTAATAATAATTGAACTTATTCTGACAACACATGAACATCCACTGTGTAAGTTTGTTAGCTTGTTTGGCTAAATTCAAACTCTACCTTATCTACGTTTGTCATTTTATTATGCTCTTCCCAATTGGCCCATTCCAAGCAGGCACACTTTGAATAGGCACTGATGTAGTATGAAATCATTTTGGACCCTGTGACTATTGTGAGTGTTAGAAATATGACAACATGTTTATTTGTTCTGATTCACAGGCATTTTTGACACTTGCCAGGGACATCAAATCAAAAATGGACACAAAATTGGTAAGAAAAACTTCTGGGTACTAAAACTTCTGTAGTAAGATAAGATGTGTAGTATGATAACTGTAACAATAATAATAATAATAGTTATTTAATATTGTAATGTATAAAACATTTTTTAATTTTTCCAACTAGTTGAAAAGATACCAAGGATTTATGTAGAGAAAGTATCTGAACCATATAAAAGCTGCTACTTGGTAAGCGACGGAGCACTGATCTGTCTGTTGTTTTGCTGCAGGAGGGTAACACACCGCAGGGAAGCAGTCACGGAGTCAAAATCTCAGAGCCTCCGAAAAAGACCAGCTTCTTCCGCTGTAGCCTACTCTGAGGACTGATGCCTTCGATACTGGCTGCCTGCTGGCTGGACATAAATGGACTGTGCTCACTCTTAGCACTTCCTTCCCCTTTCCTCTCTTTCTCCCCAACCACGGCCTGTCCTCCCCGTCCACGTAAACCATTATCCTCTCAGTAAGCAGAGGACTTCCCCTCCTCTCTTCCTCTTCTGAAAGCTTCCAGGGGTGCATCTCTTCCATTTTAAGGAGATCTGTTGTCTTCATGGGTCAGAGTGCTTGGTGGAGGACTCGGTCAGGAACATTATCCAGATGTTCCATTTCACACAAAAGACAGGCTCTTACTTCTGATGTTAGTTTCTTTGTTCTGCGCACTCATTTCACATAGCTGGTAGCACAACCAAGGATGGGCACTCATTTAATTTGTGTAGTTTGGGATTGAAATACAAATGTGATATTTAGATCTATTTTTAATATAGCACTCTTTCCCTTTTTATGTGACAAATGTCAACCAGAGGCTGATAGGCTTGAATTCCAGTGAAACAGAGTTTGCACGTTTTCTTTTTCGTTTCAGAATAATATCGACAACAACGTTATCAAAGATCAGAGAGAAATTGGATTAGAGGGTTTTTCACTTGAGTTCTACTGGGTTTGAATGTAGTCCTTGACAATCATTTAATGTGGCTAAAACTGTGTTTCAACATGCCCCAATCACTGCCCCCAACTCTTTTCAGCCTCCCTGCACTAGCTTTCAAGTGCAGGGAAGCAGTTTGGCATTGTAGTAGCTTGAACTTGTGGTGGGGTGACATCTTTCTGTTAAGGTTGTCTCTGGTATAGTAACCAATGAGAAAGCATTGTGTGTGTATATACAAAGTTTGAGTACACTGTATGGAAGTTAAAAAAAAAAAAGAAGAAAAATGGGGGGTGGGGCTTGCACTGCATTGTTACCCATTTGTAAGTATGCTGTTTGAAAAAACTTCTGCAAGTACTCACTGTATACTTAACTATCCTCTTTTAAGTACGGTGTATCACGGTATAATAACCGCTTTGTAATTTAGTTAGGCCTCTTCAACTTAATAGTGGGAAAAGAAGCACTTAAGTTAAAAAAAAAAATGCCAGTTAGAAGTACCTAAAGCCCAAGGAGATGTCCTCAAGTCCAGAAACATTCAGTTTCATATCCCACAAGACACAGAAAAGCAGCAAGATCTCACATTCGAGAAGCCAGAACAAGCTAGAAAATTGACTGACAGAAAAGTTTTGTAATTAATTTTCTCTTAATCAGCTAATTGTCACGGCTCAAAGTAAGAATTCTTTTAAGTGTTAAAGCCTTTAGTTTGATTACTCTGATTCACTGTCGGGCTAAATGACGTCTCTGGTTATTTGATGAGCAATTAAAATCACTCGAGGTTTCACACTGTAAGGCCCTTCTGCCCTTCTGTCCATGCAGCTCTCCTTGCACTTTAACAGTAAATCGTGTTTTGTGTGTAGTCTGTGCCAAGTGATAGTTTTGCGATACAACAATACAATTACTTATTTAACAAAGGCATTTTTGATCTTTTGAGTATTGGTAATGTAATGGGCATATAATACCAAAATTGAACTACACCTACTTATAAATTACTTGAACTCCTTAGCTGTTTCACTGCTAGCGATCCACTGTCCTAGTATTAGTTCACCTAAAAACGTTTCCCTACTTCGACTGTACTTTAATCCAGTCATTTGTATGTAGAAAAAAAAAACAAGAATATTAAGGCTTCCGCCCTGCCAAGTTGTAGTTAAAAGCGATATTTTCTTTCCACATGAAAGCCGGTTTAAAGGTCTCAATTGTAGTATTCTACATTTTCTCATGTTTGTGTTTGATTGTAGCCCTTTTGTTTAACAGCTAGATGGCACCAGAGGCACAATATGCATCTTAGGTGACCACCAAAACTCACATTTTCATCAGTATTTCATCAAAAACACAAGCCACATTTAATTTGAAATGTATGATGCAAACATGTACCTTCTACTTGTATTTATGGTGTTTCCATTGTTCTTCATGTTTACTGCGTTTGTTGCTAGTCTGAAAATTAAGTTCCTATATGCACAACATCGAGGGGGAATGGATTTTTGCTTGCCTGCACCTTTTAAATATCAAATAATTTGGGACCTCATTGCTACCATAACCATTTGTCTTAACCGCTAGTACTCAGTTCTGTCATAGGTGAGCTATGCATTGTGAATCTTGGACCTGTGCATATTTGTGTAATGTAACCTTCAGACATACTTGTAGACCTGTACAGTTGAATGTACAGGCTTTTTTTCTGTTCTGTGTCATTCATTGAGCCAAAAGAGGACATGCTCTGTTTATAGAAAGCTGCATTATTACATGAATGCAAGTGAAGTTTAGCCTGATGGAGGATTGTTGAGCAGGAAGAGTTAGTGCTATCGTCTCGTTCGAGTGATACTGTAGCTTTAAATCATAAACAAATAGGGAGCTGACTATTGTGGGACTCAAGCTGTATCTTTTTTTTTTTTTTTTGCTAAAATGATACTTCCTCTTTGATTTTGTTTTTAAATCATATCTTTTTCTTAAGATTCCTATCACATGTCATAATATACTGAACATCCTTTTTACAGCCATATTTTCATTCCATTGATTGTGAAGTACACAGGGAAAATAATACATTTTGGAAAAAAGTGGAGAAAAAAAAAACATTGTAAATATCACATTAAAAAAAAGAGATCTACTTAAATTGTACTGTACTTTCTAAACCCATATAAAAATGTATCTACAGTTTGTAGATATGTGTACTTTTGTTTAAATAAAATAATATAAAACTCAGCCTTTGCATTTGGATTCAGTATTTTTATTGGCTAAATGACAGAGGAAACTGCTATCAGTTGACCCCATGTTCCAACAGTGGTGCCTGACTGCTTTCATGACAAATGGCTCTCCTTTATTGGCCTGCTATGACCCACTAGAATATTCTGGCATGTGTCTCTTTTATAGTCCAGTGTAACTGGAAACTCTTTAGATACAAAACACAAATCTACTGTTGATGGTCATAACTAATGAGCCTTGTCTTGATGGATTGGCTGATGCCACGGCCTGATGATAGGCCTGCAGTGGCACCATGACTGGTATTATATCAGTTGCTGCAATAGAAGAAAAATTTACTTTGTAGTCAGTATAACAACAAATCCAAGCCATTTACAGTAAAGCTCCTGGTAAAGACTAGTCTCTGTCAATAGGGATGTTTTTGGTTACAACATAAACAAAAAAATCTAAAATTTTCACATATTCACAAGTTGCAAAATCAGTTTTTGCAAGATTTGTCAGGATTTCATTAGTTTCCAGATACTTTGCAGTATTATCAATCCATCCACTGGGATATTTCGAGTAAGAAATGTCCACGATTGCTTTATTGCTTTATATCCTTATGTGGAAGGTGCTGTGAACAGAAATGAGTACATTTCTAGTTAGGATTAGTCAAGAATAAAAACACAAATGAAGTAGAGACAATGCACATTATATAATATATTAATAAAAATTGATACATAATAAAATGACATACTTTCATGTGCTGTATATATTTAGGTTTACCACTGCTTACCTGAGGAAGTCTGGTGCTCTAACAATCATATGCTGGAAATCTTCAAGTGACAGACGTCCATCGTTGTCCAGGTCGGCCTCATCGATCACCTTCTCACACACCATCCTCACCTCGTCCTCCGTCAGCTCATTACGGGTCAGTTTGTTCAGAGTCTTCTCCAGGTCTGACTTGCAGATGAAGTCATCATTGTTGAAATCTTGCAAAAACAATAAATAAATAGAAAAGGAGATTTGTAGAAGTGAAATAATCTCTTTACTGTGACCAATGTTTTCTGTGTCTTTAATCACATTGATTGAATTGGCCTTTTAAAAAAATCCCCCAAATCTTGTCAAGATAAAAAGACACTGTCATCTTATTTACAAAGTAATAATGCAGTGAATTTGACACCTTTTTTTGAATACATGTATAATATGGTAAATTATTGAGAACAAAAAGCTTGAATATCTTTTAATGGATTAAACACACAGCACACCCACTTTTTTTTTGCTGGAGTCATCCATCTTAGTCACCATAGTGAAGCTATGCTGTAACTCTATGTCCTCTGCCTGTCTTTTTCTTCTTTATTAGTCTGAATAATGGATGAAAAGTTCCCCTGACCCATGGCCATGGTGATGTGTATGTAACGTCTTCATCTGTCAGCATTTCTTAATTAGGGGGGGACTCTGTTGCAAACCCAAACTGGGCTTTGACGAGCCGGTTGCCTGTATAAAGAGCTGGTTAATCATTTAAACATTCCATGCACCATCCGTCATGCTCCATACCCTTTCACATCCAGTGCTCCACTATAATGTGGGTGCACCTTTGTAACATACATAATTCCATGGTTATCACAAGGGGTCTAATGGTTTGGTTGCACAAACAATATAGGTTCTTTTTCTGTACACGCTTTAGATACAGTATACATGTTAAGCTTATCTACTGTTTAGGATCCTGTAAACTCTGGGCCCCGTTATCATTGTTATCGACATGATACTTTACGGTGATTCCAAATTTAATAAGAATCCCCTTTAGACAAGATTTTGAACTGATGACATGCATAAGTCAGCTGCAGAAAATCAGACAATATTTCTGTTTAATGTCTGAGACACCACATCTGTAAAAACTGGAAAAAAAACAAACAATGCATGTTGGTATGTGACTGGTTTTGATAGTACTTTTCACACAGCACTGCCCTTTTCAAAGTCTAGATATAGCTCTTCAGATTGCTCTAATATAGAATTTGACCAGCTTGTAATTGATCTTACCTTGATTAGGTTTATGCAGGTTAACTTATTGTGCATTTCTTTGCCTGTTCATGGCTTTAACATATAAAACTTGATTTCTCTATTTTCTCACCTTTATCAAATGTTGAAGCTCAGTTTGTAGCAATGGAAAGGGTTGCTTCATTACTTGACTACATACTGGGTTTGAATAACAAGAATTTAAAGAAATTAAACTAATTTTTAGTAGCTATTTTTTTTTTTACACATATAGCACTGTGATCTGAGGAACAGCAAACACATGGAGGAGGTAAAGTGAGTCTTATTAAAACCAGAACCTTACTGGAACTTCAGTATTTTACCGTAAATTTTGAAAGCATAGTAGGCCTTGAGGTCACGAGGAGCCATCTCACTGAGGACTGAAAACATGTCCAAGAAGTCGTCCAGAGTCATGTTTCCCTCTCCGTCCTCAGAGAAAACCTCAGCGATCCTCTGACGAAATGGGTTGTCCTGGACAGAGGGGACAACCTGCATGACAGTCTGATTGAATGTGAAACTGTCAACACACACACACACACACACACACAACTATACACTTGTGCTTGTTGGGAATGATTGCTTTCTTATTGTTCTAGCTGTTAGAAGATAGTGTTTTGTTTTGACTGATGACTCATGTTCCTGTCTAGTTTTTGTTTTTCTGAAGACAATCAAAAAAAAAAAAACTACAAAAAGAGAAAGTTTAAAGTTGTAAATGACTTTGGGAGAAAGTGAAAACTTGACCAGCTCACTCTCCCTTTCTCAGGGCGCGTCTGGAACCAATGTGTTAACAGACCTGTTTAGCATGTTGTCATCATGTAAAGAGGCATATAATTGACCCATTTCCAACAAGTGTGCCCTCTGGGACCCACCAGCATTCTTCAAGTTTAAAGGAGTCGGGTTACATATAACCTTTCAAAGAATTCTGTCGATTAGTTGGTCATTAATTATGGATTGGGAACACAGGGAGACAGCGGGTCTGCAGGGTGTGTGTGGACCAGTGGGGCTACCTTCAGCTCTGGCATGCTGCCAATCAGCTCATATGGTAGCTTCACATCTGGGTGGTTGGTGTAGTCAAGAGGAACGAGCTGTGGTGCCAAATCCCGATAGCGGTAGAACAGTCTAGGGAACGTTTAAAAAATTTACTTTCAATATTGAATTACAATATGTCTTCTGTACTGTGTAGTGTTGTATCATAAACAAATGTGTACTTGGAAAACTCATTGTTTTCAAAGAAACACTGAAAACCTTGAAAAATCTGGGAAATTTCAGTACAGTAAAGTTCTGAAAGTGATCTCAGTGGTAGCGTGCCCCATAGCAGGACAGGTCTCCTGATTGTGTAGTTTAGAGTTACAGCATGGTACTGTGCAGAACAGAACAAAATTCAGCTGTGTCAGGTGAGCCACATAAGCAATGACTCAGAAAGAATGAAATCCAGTGCCACTACATGGCAAACTGAACATCTTAAACATACATACAAAGCGTCTTTTTGTGGTTTAGCATAAAGAATTGATAAAATAACAGAACACTCACCTGAGAATCTCTTTTCTTGTAAAATATGTACAGTCCTGCAAATAATGTTAGAAAGTTATTTACAGTTACATTCCAAAACAGTTGTCTTCATATAATATAATGCTTAATTATCTTTTATACAGTGATGAAAAAAACTATTCAGATCATTTATCCAAGTGGCACCAGTGACACCACACTACAAAAATACTGAAGCATGGGGAATTCTATTGGAAAGTCTTAATTTTAGTGCAAAAGTGAAAGTACTCCACATGCATAATGACCTCTGTCTTAACTGTGTTATTATTTAATTATTACTGATGCATGTTATCACAGTGTTGTAGTTGATCAACACAGAGCTAATTTTGACTATTGCATATAGTTTTGGAAAATCTTTCCATGTAATCTATTATAAATCCACAAATTCATCCATTTTCTATGATAGACTTTTTGCGTGAACAATATTAATATGACAAATACAAAATATTTTCTTACAAAGGTAACGGAAAGTCAATCAAATCAAGCACCAGAGCCAATACCATCAAAAGTAAGTTTTCTAATGCATAAATCTAAATGTAATTAATATTAAAAATGCCATCATGTTCAGGCATCCTGTCACTAACTTCAACCTCACATCACCTCAGAAAGTTCGATTGTACAATGGTTACAGACAGACGTTAGCAAACAGCAGTTTTGGAGGATGTGACAAACAAAATCAAATCAGCAAACTCTACCAGGAAAGCACTGACTTACCCAGTACATCATTACCCATGTGGCATCGCCTTACATTAGTCTGGATGTTCTTCTTTTCTTAATTACCAAAAAAGCCTAAATAAGTCTGATTAGCCTTGTTTGAGGATGCCGGGTGCTAGTACTGATAGGGAAAGCACAATTTATCCAGACGGAGTATGATGCTGTCGTTCAGAAACAAACACTAACCTGATAGGCATCTAGCTGCTGTGCTGTAAAGATGGTCTGTTTATTCCCCATGTCTGAACACAACACCGCCAAGTCTCAGGTCCATCGCTGCTCCAACATCCACTGCTTTTTTAGCGTGGGTATGTCAGATATGAAATACTCTGACAAAAGGAGGCCAGAGCCAAAGAGGAGATCAGGTATCGGGCTGCCACCGGGCCCTTTGGTTCCCACTATAATGGCAGCATTTCATCGTTTTCTCCATTGTGAATAGCAGCCCCTTTGACAATGAATAAGGGCTGTCGTCCAGCATCATGCCAAGTGGTATCAACCCCCTTTAGTGCCACTCTATGGCCAACGCCTCGTTCCCTGCTCAGGTTACACTCTTCAGAGACAAGGTTTCGTAGTGGGCAAATAGGGTTTTCAATGGGAGACGAGTTTTGTTCATTTGAGAACTGATTATTGGATTATACATATTATAATCGAGTGTGTTTTCATGTTCAGTGTAAGGTCAGTTGTGTCATATTTGCCCTAAGTCTAAGCTGGGAAATGTATTGACTTTGTACAAGAAGTAGGAGTGGAGGCATTGGCATCGAACTTTGCCTTTTATCTTGCTTTTATAACTTGTAACTTAATAGCAGATGTACAGCACAACCTTTCCCTCATGCTATTGACTTAGCATGAGAAATACACAAGGATGACTGGTGCAAAAATCAATGGTTTTTGTTGCAGTACAATTTTCTTTTTAAATGTTTTATTTTGAAGAATCAGCTGAAGGTGGGTCAGTGTTTGTCACTCTGTCCCAGTGAGGAACAGCCTGGGGGATTTTCTTAAGGGGTCTAATGAAAAATATCAGCAGACCTCAACTATGCCACAAAGAATATATTTACTTTTTATTTATTTATTTATTTTTAAACAAATATTAAGCCCAGTTTCCCTGTAAATCCATCCTTAGTGAATGAATTACATGTCTTGATTGACAAACACCAATGTTTAGCACTAGAACAGCAACAGATCGCTCTATATAGTAATGAGCAAAGGAAGTGTGAAGGAGTAACAATGGATATTATTGTAGTTGACTCATGCAGCAGACTGGAGGTTCCATCCCTTTGCAAATCAGGAACTAATATTGCATTTTGCTTCATAGGACCCACAATATTTCCCTGACAGAGCTTGCATTAAATGTGATTAATGTAATGTTTTTTGTACAGGCAACCAATATTGATGTCTGAAATATTTTCCTCTTGCCACCTGTAGACAATAGTATGAGTTGTAGAATTATTTGTATGTGCGTGTGGGCTTTTGAAAGAATGAAAGGATGGAAACACTGATAACTGATATTCTCCTTATGATGCGTTATATTCAGGCTTTTTGCTGGCGTGTGCTTTGATACCATTTTGCAGGAGCCTCAACCTGCTTTCAACCAGTTCATGTGGTTTGTTCTCAGCCAGGAGGATTTCCATTCCTGAATTTCTTCACTTACCAAAGGTTAGACATGCAGTACATTCTGGAAGTGTAGACCTGTACTTTCAAGTCAAACAGCAGTTGGTATGTACTGACAACTAATATTCACTGCTTCATGCTGCGTTTGCTTTGTCATATTTATTTGAAAAGGCAATCTGTAAGATGACTCTCAGGGCTTAAGGCAATGGCAAGAAAAGAAAAGTTGCCAAACAAAGAATTTTAGTCTGAACTTACACCAAAACCGGATAAAGAGGCAAGACAGAACTTTCTGGAACTTTATTGCTCTTTTTATTCAATGATTTCTTCTTGAGATGAGTAAAAAGAATGTATTACACATCAGGACGACTGGAACGAATGTTTGCTTAGAAATTATGATTTAATCTTTAAGTGAAGTGTTTTGTTACTTCTTAAAATGGATTTCTGTGTTCTTGCCTCCATGTTGTTTACTATATCACCAGTCAGAATGAGGTTTCATGTAAATCAAAGACATGTATACATGGAGCAACATGTTTAGAAAATTAGATATTTATGTCTAAAATGATCTCTACGTTGTGTATTTGAAGAGTTGATTTGCAAAACCAGATAACTCCATCTTCAAAAATCTTCAGAAAACCTACTTATCCATCGTCTACCTGAGGCAATATCAATCAAACTTAAGTTATCTCTATTTTTGTCATGTCATTTCTACTGAGTCAAATCCACTCAACTTCAGTTTGATTGATATTATCTCAAGCAAACAACAACAACAAAAAACAGATTTCTGAAAATCTACACAAATGGAGGTATCTGTTTTTGTAAACGAACTCTTCATTTCCTCTTAAAAGAGAGATTTTATTTGGATGACATGTCGGAACATTCATACCTGTTAAACAGAACGTTAGAAACATCCATCCATCCATCCATCCATCCATCATCTATACACTGCTTAATCCTCACTAGGGTCATGGGGGGGCTGGAGTCTATCCCAGCTGGCTCTGGGCAAAGGCAGGGGACACCTTGGACAGGTCACCAGTCTGTCTCAGACAGACAACCAAGCACATTCACATTCACACCTATGGACAATTTAGAATCACCAATTAACCTCAACATGTTTTTGGACTTGTGGGAGTATGCCGGAGAACCCGGAGAGAACCCACGCTGCACGGGGAGAACATGCAAACTCCACACAGAAAGACGTGAACCGTGACCTTCTTGCTGCGAGGCAACAGTGCTAACCAACTGCGCCACCTTGCAGCCCATTAAAAACATCCTGAAAATATAATCTAGTCCAAAGCAGCAAACCACCTCTAACTACAGCCTAACAATAAAAACTAGAATCTTTACAGGGTGGTTTTTGTCACCAGGCTATGGAACTGATGTACATTTATTTGACCAAGTTATGATTTCACCCTAAAATTTCCAACTTCATGGCTGTGTTTACTAGAATCATCTTGCCCGGCCCAGGAGCACAACAGTGTCCTCTGGTGGTAAAAGGACAGAAGGGGGCCAGCTGTGTTCAAGGCATCTTTTCAGACATGAACTCCACTCCATTGTTCTGACGGGAGTTTAATGTGTCGGCTTCATGTCTGAATGCGCACGTCGGTCACGTTTCTGTAAGTTGCTGCATAAAGCTTTAAAACTTTTCTTAGCGTTCCCCAGATGATTTAGCCAATTTTTTTAATTTCATGAAAATAAATCCAGCACTTTTATGAAAAAAAAAAGATGTATTCTCTGATCTAGTGTCCAGGAACTGCTGTGATTATGATTAACTGTGTTCAAGCATGAATTCTGCAGGATCAGGATCATCATTTCAATCAAATAATGAAAATTACTAGTACTTTCTGCAAATTTGATTTAGTTTGAAATGGGTTGTAGTTTTTAACAAAATGGTAGGAAAGATTGCAAGCATTCTTCCAATTTGACCTTTTTTTCTGGAAACACTAAAAAACTTGTGAAGCTTGATTTATTCTTGCACTTCCAACAAGGCAGATGGATGGCAGGATATTTTATTGTTGTTCTTCTCTAATCAGCATTTAGTTTTTAGTTATCAAGCTGTCTTCTTGATATAATCTGGCATTCTGGACATTTTTCTAAAATGACTTTTCAAATAAATTCAGCGTGTCATCCTTTCCAACATTTATTTAGATTCTGACTAATCGCTGACAACACAAAACATAAAATATACACATTTACATCTTTAACAGGATATTACTTCCATCACTGTTATATATTATAATTTATGCATATTTACATATATTACAATGTCACATGTGAGCCTCTGCATATTAATGAGGGTGAAAGGGCAGCTGGCTGTCTGTGTTGTAAGACCTGATTTACATTGTATTTTTAATGAGCATCTGTTCGGCCCAACATCAGCGACCCGTCGGTGTCAGTGGCAGCCACAGCTTCCAGCCACCATGTCATTGTACTGTTTCAACACCACATTCTCATCATCGTCAAAGTAGAGCAAATTGATGGAGAAGAGCTTATCGGGCACGCAGCATGGCGTTTCGATGCTTTTGATCAGCTTCAGGGCATTGATGATGGACTGAACGGTGGCGTGGTTGGTTGGTCTCATGTTTTGACCCAGAGGGAAGGGGCAGGAACCTTTGCAGTGGTAAGCGTTGTAACCCCTGGGAGATACAATCCAGCCCGACCAGCCGATCTCCTCGAAGTCGACGTACAGAGGCAGACGCTGGCAGGGCATAGACACACCTTCCTCCTCGCTGTAGTCCAGAGAGCGAGCGCTGCGGGAAGACGGGCCTGACATGGGGGCCTGGAGCAGGGTGGAGGCGGCAGTGGTATCGTTTGGATCTGGTGGAAGAAAGAAGGACTTTTAATTTGGAAACAAAATATATTCCTCAATACGAGTGGAAGCCATGGTGTAGGCATAAAATAATTTGACATTCTCTAATATTATAAAATTAGAGAACACTTACTTGATTTCAAATAGAAACCATGATTTGAAAATGAGCAATTAGCAAATTTCAGGTGCTGCAACTTCTATGTACATTTTACATTGTTCTATGGCTCTTATCCAGGTTGTTTTCTCCTGACTAGAGTCTTGCTTGTGTTGAATCTACTCTCAGATGTGCATCACTTTGGATAAAAGTATAGAATTGTAGATACAGCGTATCTGAGCCAGGATATCAACTGGCATGTCAGTGGTTTTACAAATTCTTGGTGATTTCGTGTAGTAATGCTCCATTACAAGTCTGGATCCAGTAGATGTTAAATTTAAGCTTAAATAATAGATATATTGCAAATGAAATTGTAATCTCAATATTGGTCAGAAATATTGTAATTAGATATGTTTACCTAATTGTTCAGCCTTGGTGTGAGCCCTGACAAAACCAGGGCAGATTTAGAAATATCTATGATAACTGATTACTAAAATAGTTTGTTTGTAGAGGAGGTGCTGACAGCTGCAGAGAACTTTTCTCATAGATTGATAACAATGCTGAGAGGAGAGCAGGGTGTTGGGAGGCTCTGTGTTTCCTCTTGTCCCCATGATTCTTATCCAGGCTTCTGCTTATCAACAATCAGGCCACAAAAAAAGCCTACAGACTACTTGGAATTATACTAAAGTTGACAAAAATCTCACCTTTACTCTCAAGACTGGCAGAGTGGCGGCCATCATCAGTGAAGAGAACCAACATGGGCTGTTTGCTCTGATGGTGACTGCGTCCTGAAGCAAAGCGGATCAGTTTCATATCCACTTGGCTTCCTCCCAGAGTCTGGACCACCACATGGAGCCCCAGGTTACTGCCTTCATCTATCATCCATGAGCGGACCTTCAGCAAGAAGTTCATCAGTCAAATAAAACACAGTCCTACCTACAGTCCAGCAGTTTAGATATGACTCGAGGAGAAGATAGTACTTACTGCTTGTGTGACTGTGAACACTTCCCAACCAGTAGAGTGAACTGGGATGAGTCGAGAAGACAGCAGCTTCTTCTCCTGTGTGCTGTTGCTTTTGCTGCTGTCAAGCATCTGATAAACACTGACCTGAATGAGAAGGGTGGGTTTTAGAAACTCAAAAGAAGAGCTGCATTTAATTTTAACATCAAAAAGTCTAGATCTGATCCATGTTATACTTTGTCTACATACCTGGCAGAAGTGATGTCTGTTGAATGAGCCCTGAGGTCGCAGCTTGAACAGATGCAGCTCTGCAGTGAGGACCTTTTCGGTTCTTGCAACTGTTGACAAATTGAACCTGAACTCCACCTGTTCACTGCGCACTGCAATGGAAAGTACATGATTAGCAACAAGCGCTGTGTTTGATGTTCTACAGAAGCTTACAGGCACGAATCACATCTTACATTTGTCAAAGAAACTGCGCACGGTATTCCCCTCCAGAAGGTATGGGTCCTTGGTCACACCGTCCACATCAGCAACTGTGTTGTACAAGTCTAGCATGTACTGAGGGGGCTGCTTGTGTCCATGGATAGCCGGAGGGTCCTCCATCCCAAAAACCTCCAGAAGTCTCTTGATCGCAGCTGAACGGACCTCCTGGGACTCTTCCTTAGCGGTGAAGCGATTTTCCAGATAGTTCTCCGAAGGCCGTGCTGTAGAGGTGCACACCAAAACGGCGAGGCTGATCACAAACATCAACATCTCTGGAGGGTGAGTTAATTCCTGGTGCACCGCAGTCCACGAACCGAACAGCAACTTGGAGCTTGAGTGACTGCGGAGTCGTGGAAGCTCGACTTTTTATATCAAATGCCCCTGTTCCCCTCTCAGATCTCCCAAACCCTCGGTAAACAGCAGTAAAGATGCTATTTGGTTGCAAATGTAAATCACCAATCAGCGAATGTAAAGGGAGACTAATGGCGGGGTTCACAAGGTGTGAAGCCCACTGTAGATTTTATTCAAGCCCATTGTCTCCACGTCTGGCAATGAAGGCTCAAAAAAGTAGATTCAGCCTTTGAAAAGCTGGGGTTTTATTGATCATCCAGTATGTTATTGTGGAGTATGTTTTTCCTTGTCTGTATGCATTTTTGAAAATATAAAATCTAAAGCTGAATAATCTCTTGAGGACGCGCAGCCACAGGGGGAGGTTAACAGCGCCTCAATGAATCCATTAGTTTAGAATAATGGGCACAGTGTCTTAGGTGGAAACCAATTACTACGATAAAGAGATGGGTGTCGCTGATTACACTTGGTGAGATTTACATAACTGCTTATCCAGTTACAGCTGGATAATCATCAAATTTGCAGTTTTGTTTTAGGCAAGGAGACGAAAGTCCAGCTGGGCTTGTATATGTATGTATATGTGGTTAAAAAGTTCTGTCACACATTTGCTCTACACAACTTAGTTATTGATATAGCCTACGATAGCCTCCCCAATTTAGTTTTAGGTAGAAAATAGCGCATTTATCATGGTAGATACGCTGAAAAATGTGGATTTAGGGCGAGTTTGCTCCCCATCATCTCTCTTAACATTGCAGAAATAGAAATTAAGTTCCTCTAATGTTTGCCCTGGATTTAAAAGATGGATTTATCTGCAGCAGTAAACTCGCGTATTTTCAGTTATTTGTCAAACCCAACTCAGCTGTTTTCTAGGAAGCAGAGAAATTACGCACCGTGCCATTTGTTACCTTTGATCTTTACGCACGGTTACGCACGAGCAAAAGACAAACTGGAGCTGAAAAAAGTTTGTTTCCTTCACCGTAATAAACATTTAGGAGATCAAAGTTGTTCCTCCTTGACACCTTGTAAGCAAGCTATAAAACTTTTTTTTCTCAGTTGATGACACAGAGAACTGTGACAAAAAAGTGTTTTTTTCACACGTTGATATCAAAACAAGGAGCTATTAACTGCTTGCACGTGTGTTTTTTCAAAGGGACATTTACAGAGTCAGATGGGTTTTTGGACTCCTTTCCAAAGCTCATTCAAAGCTTCATTCAGACCCTTTGAAACTTTAGAAGTCTGGGGATTTGTGGCACAATTACATTTAATTCCAAGGTTCACCAAAAAGGAAAAAAAATCTGAAATGGGAAAGATTGTTAATTGCAATGTGTTTTGTGATGAACCTGATATTATCTAGAATAGTCTTCCAGGTCCTCTAATGTATTTCTCCTGTTTCTGTTTTACGTTGATGCTCCAACTCAAAGTTTATACATTTTTGATTCAACAGATACTAAGTACATTTAATCATGAATCAGACAGTTGGCAGCACACACTCACAATATTTATCCACTGTTATTTTTTGTAAATTGTAGACCACCTTGGAAAAATTTCAAGAGGTTTCCTTTTGTGCCGTCCGGGTTAACTTTGTACAATTGTAAAATAAGAAGTCATCACAGATTGTTGTATTAAATTTAATTACAAAATTCTAATATTTACATAGATTACATATAATACAATAATACTTTAGGGTAGTATTTGGGTTCATTAATGGGCAGCAGGCTACAGTGGGAACAACTTTGGGAGCCTCTGGAAGTCTGCCGAGTTGTTTTCCAGTAGAAGGCGCTGTGGTTAGTTTTGGCAAAGGCAGGAACTGATGGAGAGGACTGTGCGACTCTGTCCATGCTGGTTGAGGAAACTGTGGCTCTCATAGCCCTCAGGAACACATGAGCTGGACTGACTTTCGGACCACAAGTGGCAGATTTGTGGATCAGTTGGACTACTGCAACAACAGATGTAAAAACACAGGATAAATTGAAATACATTGTTACCAGAACAGGCTCGTCTCTATTGACTATTTTTCCCAGTTTATCTCCTCAAACTAAACTTAAATTACAGTTGAGCTGCAAATCAATCCCAGTGAGACATGTTTAATGAAAGCAACTAAGAATAGCCTTTCCTGTATTTGTTCAGCATTTATCTTCAGTCATGCCAGTCTAATTAAATGATGGAAAATCTATATGATAAACTTGGACCCTGACTCTCTTATTCATTTCCTGATACTTCACACAAGCTGACAATAAAACTACATGCCCGCAAGTATCTCAAAACAATGCAAAAGGTAGAAAAAAGACATCTGGTAGGTAAAAGGCAGAAAAAACACATTTGGTGTAGGAATTAATCCAAAAAGCCACTATGCTGACTGCAGACGGTGTCAAAGCTCACAGGCAATTGTTATGAGAGAGCCAGAGGAGGTGTAGGCAGCAGCTGTGTTCGTACTTACCTGAGAAGGCATCGGTTTCCTGTAGTGCAGCCTCCCAAACATCTGCCAACATCTATTTCCTGAGGAAAATTAGCAACACAGAGGGAAGGAGATGAGCACACAGCTGGTCACAAATATTGACCCAGTAAAGTTGGGGGGGGCAGCTGCTAATTAGCATGTTGACCGCTTTGATTCAACACCTGCAGAGCCATTTGTGTTTGCCCCTCTTCACCTTTGGTGCTGAGATGCAATAAACAACCAATACTGTGCCAAAGAATTCAAGTTCTATACTTTCCATTACCTCATTTTTTTGTTGTTGTTGGATAAAGTCACAAATAAATGCTTAACTTATAGTGTAGGAAAGTTTGACAGCTAGTAAGAAGTTTCTTGAAAGAAGAGCTGATGAATGTGTTTAAATCATTATTAGCTTCAGATGTGGCCACAAATGTGTTTAACTGCATTTTTAATGTTACTTTCATTAAAAGAACAAAAAAAAAATACGGAAGGAACTTAAATCAATATTTCAAAATTGAACAAACTTTCCTTCACAGCGGAGAAGAAACACCTTGTTTGCACATTTAAGTTGCTTGGTGGTGTTCTGTTCTGCTCTTTGTTTTTGCAAGAGTGTGCGGCATGAGTTTTTTTATTTTTTGTTTGATTGTTTTTATTTCCATTCTTAATGCAAAGAAGATAAAATTACAGCAAAAATTCAGACTCTGCTTTTACTAAAGTAAAAACTGTGCAACAATAACATGCAATATACGCTGAAATCCTACACATTGAGGACATGTGGTCTCAGCATGTGGATTGCTTGATTGAATGCTGTCTTCCACATGCATGTCTGATGAATGACAATACTTCATTCCTGTCTGGCTCCCTGCTACACTGTCGTTTCCTCTCAATCGGATTACAAAAGAAAGTGTGAAACTGGTGTCACAAGGGATTCACTCTCCTAGTGTTAAACATACCATGCTAATCAGAGAAGGAGTTGTACTTATTGAGAAAGGCTGGGTTTAAAAATGAAGCTGAAGAAGGGGAATTTGAGGAACTCTGTTTCAGTAATTGTGTCTACATTCTACTTACTTTGAGCCTCTCTTCTTTTACTCCATCTGCATGCTGCACTATTTCATAGTAATACTCCACATATGGCACTCTGTAGCATGTTTCCTTCAGCTCGCAGGCTGCCACAGTCTGGATGAGATCCACCTTGTTGGGGGTTTCCACCAAAGCTGAGTCAAACTTCGTGGGCACACAGGAGAATCCCTCTGTGAATGATTGATAAAGGTAAAGATTTGCGCTTAATTACAATCTGTGATTCAACACTAAGTCCACGGAGAGCCCCACCAGCAATATGTGAAAGGCAGGATTAGCTTTTCAATCACTCCCAAACAGAATATACTGAGCATCATACTGTTTGGATTAGTTTGGTTTAGCCTACATGACTAATACTTTGAGGCAAGCGTAATCACAAAAGCTGATTTTCATCACTCAATTAAGTGTATGTGTGTTGATTTAGCTCAGATGTATAACTTCAAAAAAATAAATAAGGGCCTTTCTTTTGCAGTATATTTTAATGCAATTGCAAATGAACTTTAAGTCAGGCTTTAAACACTAACTCGTCAATGTAAATTTAAACTGTATAATAAAGCTGCATTCAAATGTTACTGGGCCTTAAAGTGGGAATCCAGGCAAAATGCAACCAAGATAACTTCCCATTTCCAAATGTTTGCATGTGATTGGCTGCTTCATGTCTCTGTTGTTTCTGCAGGTAGAACACACAAACACACACACCTGGGGATCCCTTGGACTGGGAGCATCCTCCCACGTCTATGACTATCTCGTAGGGAGTGTCTGGGTTGTAGGTTCTCAGTGCAGGGACGCGGATGCACTGGCTCAGCTTGATCTCGCAGTGACACTCCTCGATGACCTCCACCTCCCGGGGTCCCTCGAACAGAAGCACTCGGTCCACACGCATCCCCGTCGGCTCACACAGCTGGTTCATCCCACAGGAGGGCAGCTGCTTGAGCGGCTCCAAGCTCTCTGGAGCGGCGGGTCGGCGGCTCCGCATCTTCAGTAAGAAAAGAGAGATTATTCAACGTTTTTGTCAGACATTTCAGCATGTTTATGTTGCCTGAATGGACTTTAATACACAGTGTTGGCCAGTGACAAGAGCAAGAGGCCAAACAAGTGTTAGTGCTCTTATAAAACAGCGTTTGTCACATCTATTCTTTTCACAAATGTCCATCGTACCTGATTAATAGTGAAACAATCAGTGTTTACCACAGTTCATCAATAACTTTATCAAAGAGTAGCCCTGACAGATGTTGTGGCCCTGACAGAAGTTGTGGCCCAGACAGATGTTGCAGCCCACCCTTGTGGCAGTGCCAGGAACTGACTCAGACTCTCACTTACTTTTTTGCTCCTGAGAAACTCCAGCATTGAGGAGTGTTTGGAGTAATCCTGCTGCCCTGCTTCATGGGATGCTCTTATTGTCCCCCCGCAGTGTGACCTGCACATTCCCACGTCTATGTTGACAGGACTCCCAGAAATGTCTGATGGGTCAGAGACACAACAAATGGATTTTATTAAAATAGCAAGACAGGCCACACCTATAACCTTTACCTAAAAAAAACTTTATAAAACAGAAGTCATTGTTTTAACTTAGGATTTTCGCAACATGTGAGAAGAACTCTTGCTTAAGTTTCTGTTAATGGCGTAGAGACAAATATGTTGGTACGTATGAACTCAGTAAAGGAAGACTTCTTGAATATGTGGAGGAATGTGTTGCTTTACCTTGTCCAATATACACAAAGTGGCTCTGTCTCCTGCAGCACACCCTCTGTGTGAACAAGTTTCTGTGATCAGTGTGTTTGGTCAACACTACAGTCACTGGAAAACACAAGGTGAGCATGTGTCAGGGCCATCAGTGACTTCAGATGGAATTAGATCATAGAATAGCATCATTAACCATAAGCTCACAAGTATTTGTGCAGGAATCAGTTTTCTTCTAGGTCATTTGTTAATAATAAAAAAGTAAGTCCTAATTAGGTGATTTGTTATGAAGAAAATAAAAAACAATATATATATTTTAAGGAAAAATCACTCTGTATTACTGTTTAGTATCCTCATATAATAGATGATGATGTTCAACTGGAAATGTTGGGTTTATATGAAAAAATTTAAATATTTGGTTAAAAGCAAAGTGAACAGATCCCACCTTGCGTTTCAGTTACAAGAATGTGAAAGCATCTCTTAACATCACACAGTCTTCTAATGCTCATGTTTACTCATGTTCTATCGCAAGTAATTAGTAAGTATGTTGGAGCCAGTTGGTGTCAGTCCAGTCAGTGAATAGCTTCAGATAATGTGTCCCAGCTGCAGAAGCATAGAAAAAGCAAACAGTACTTACAGGTCAGGTGGAGGACACACATGAGGAGAAGGAAAGGTCGGGCTACGTCCATGGCTTCAGTTCCAATCTGCTCCTCAGCTGCCAGATCCTGAGAGTCCCTCTGCTCCCTGGTGCTTCTGATATTTATATGGGATAAACCTTCAGCCCCAAATGTCACCCAAAAAAGGCCTAAAGCAATGTGGAGTCAAAAAAAAAAGTGAGAGCTAATCAAATTTCCATGTTAAAGGCCTCAAGGGATGGAGCTCTTACAGTCAGAGTCCACTTCAAAAGAAAACTCTCCAGCTTTTCTGCTTCTGCTGCAAGGAGACCTGTAGCTCAAGTGTGTCGACCGGCCCGAGCTCACCCTAATGAAGTGCTTAAGTAGCCTTGAGCCATTAAAGCGTCACTCTGTCAAAGGCATTAATCATCTTTCATCTCAGGGGGAAGGTGTTTAGCACCTCTGACTTAAAACAGAACCTGGCCCAAACACATAAACAAGATCAGCATGGGGTCCTGAGCCTCCCCTTCACAAAACTCCAGCACCTTTGTGTTTATTCAACATGACACCAAATGGCCAGACCCCTCAGAAGTTCCCTCTAAATCTCTGCTTCTTCTACTTCTCTTTAGAGAAAGTGGGAAGACATGAAACCAAAAAATATTGTTTATTAAACAGGTTTCCAGACATGAAGGTTTATGTCTATATATCTTTTGATGTTACACATACGTATATATTGGTAAAAAGGCTGAGAATGCATTTCTTATTTTGTCAGTTCTAATATTATCTGAACGTGCCACCCTCAGTTCTCTACTTTATCAGGTAGATCTCAAGTTCTAAAAACTGTTTCTAATCACAAGTAAGAGATGTAACCGTGTTGTGATCTTGGCATTGTACTGATTTTCTATTCTTATCTTAACAAAGTGTTAGTCCGTCTTTGATGTGTTGATGTGATCCCCTCATTTACACCGGGATCAACAGATCATCGTTCGGAGAGGCATCGGCCCTCAGACACCTTGATCAAGGTGACACCCCTGCAGCAGTTTCAGTTGTTGATTCCTTTCATTAAGTTACAACAAATCCCATTGAAATTCTACCATAATCCTGCTAAAACCCTTGTTCAGCCCGAGTAATTAGTTGATTTAATTATGTAGCTCGTATGATATGGGGTCACCCAAAACCCTAAAACTCTATCAAGTTGACCACAGTTGGTTTTCAAACTAAGTTTTAGGGATTGCTTATTATTATCCAACATCTTATCCACAGGGGTCAGTGGACATCAAGTTGAAGACTCATTGACACACATCCCATCCCATCTCTAATGGGAGACTGATAATAAAAAATCAGAAGTAGAAAATGAAGTACAGTACTAACGGCAGGTAATCCCATCACAAGATCCAGCACATGTAGTTTGCTCACTTGTTATAGAGTTTAGATGATGAAATTTTGTTTCTGTGCATGGTAAAGACATTAAAGTTGGGTTGAAAGTTCATTCTTGACCTTCCAAACAGCTAAGTAAACTCCCACAAGGAAGGCTTTGTGAACAAAGCTCCAGAATGGCTATTTTGTGGTGAGATTGTTTTGCCAGCTGCTGTTTCCAAGGTCAAGAGTCTTTCAAACTGTGTATTTGACCCACTCTTTATGAATGTGTAAAGGTAATATCCTGTTCTTTAAAATACATAGATACTTGGTATATTTTGAGCAGATTTTCAGATGGATGATTTAGTGTCAGTACATCGATACGAGGGGAGACATAGGCCACAATCTTTTTTTCATCTAATGCTTGCCATAGACGGGCTTCCATTTAAAACTTCCACGCATTCAGTTCCAACATCTTAGATGATAGCGTCATTAGGTTTACCATGAAAAAGCTTATTTTTTTTATCTGCAGGAATAGATTTTTGTACTTGGACCACTAACTGACAATACATTTGTTGCCGATATTGTAGCACAAAATAATCGTTAGAAAATGGCCCATGGGAGCAATCGCACCTGTTTCACTGCAGTCACTCTTCCCCGGAACATCTTTCCCTATTTAAAAACTTTAATTCAACATTGCACGTGCTGCAAGTATCACTGAGGTTGTGATTGGATTATAGTGAGTCACTTGAACATGAACAAGCAGCTTATGCATGATGACTACTAGACAATCCTTGTGTCCAGTCTGTGTAGCAGAGTACGATAGGTAACAGACATCAGTAGGGCGTGCTCACTGTCTGGCCAAGTGTCCTTCTGGTGTCATGGTCAGTGTCTGGGTCACTGTGTGGTTGTGTAGCCCAGTCACAAGGGAGCACTCGCTCACCCTCCGTGCTCACTACCTTAGCTTCTGGCTGAACTCAAGTGCACGTAAAATAGCATTTATTCTTTTGGTTTGGTGGAAAGATGCCATTTGTTATCACTATAGTCTTTAGCAACATTGCAACTATTACAAAATTTGAGAGTTAATTAGATGATATAGTTAATTTACAAAGTGAAAATGTAATCCTCATGAAAAGCCACAACCAGAGGAAACCCATACAACTGAGCCCCTGATGCAGCTCTGGCCTTCCAGCCTGTCGACCCCTAACAGTGATGATGTAGTGTAGGTAATCTCATCAATGGTCTGTTCAAGGACCTGTATTAGGTAGTGTGTTCGAGTCTAGGGGTTAAAGAAACCTTGACTGTCTGCATGGGAGGAGTTCAGCACGTAAGGATTATAGGGTGTTATGTTGTAGTTCTGGATTATACAGCCAGCACTGCAGCATAGAGTGAGAGCTGGTGAAGAGGAGTTCTACCGTCGCAGCAGCTGGACAGGCAGTCGATTGTTTCAGAAAATTCCTCTTGGAACATTTTTCCTGATGCATGCGGATTGTTTTAATTTTTTAAATTTATCATGCAGCTCACATTTGTTCAGACAGCTTTTTTCCTGCAGTTTTTGTTTTGTAGAAATTAGTTTTCTTGGTAATTTACCACCCTTTTCCCCCCTAAAATCCTCCAAAAGACAAAAACTAAGAAAAACAGAGTGCCTTCTGGATAGGAATCATGTATGTGAACAACAGAAATAACAGCATCAACACAGAAAAGAGTAAGAAGAACATAAAAGGGAAAACATGTGAGTATAGATACAACACTTTTTGTTCAACTTAACTTGCATTATTTTATGCTTTAATTAAACCTTGATTAGATTGAGTACAATGCAGAAAGTTGTTTTTCCAAATAGCTGCTGTTATGTCCCAAAATATACTAACTTCATTCTTTCCTTCATCTCAGGGGCTCACTTGAAGACAACTCCATGTCAGGAAGAAATCTTCACCGCTTCGTCCCCAAAGGTGGGCAAGAAGGTGGAGACAAAGGAGAACATGACAGACGATGAGAAAGCGATGCAGCGCACAGCGTTTGGGAAGGCCCTGTATGATCTGACCCATTCAGAGAAGGTGATGAATGATCTGACGTTTGGACGGCGAGTGGGGCTTTATGAGCTCAGAGGGGAGATCGGCTCTGGCAACTTCTCCCAGGTTAGATTGGGAATACATGACCTGACCAAAGGTGAGATTTTGGATGCTTTGCCTTTTTTTTTTTTTAAGTTTCCATTTCTTTCGTTTTCATAGCTCCACTGATCAGGTAGCACAAGTGGCTGTAGCTTTGAAATCATGCATGTTTGGCTGTGGGGATATTACTCAAACTTGTTTGCTTCAGAGACCATCCTACTCATGTTCATTTATTTTCCATTCCTACCATTAATGATTTCAGGAAGTTCAGAGTTGAAAAAACTGTCTGTCCATGTTTAATAGCATGAAGCAGTCTGCAAATATGATGGGCGCTCCTGTTCTTTAGTTCTAAAGTCATCAGTGTGATGGGTGTCAAGGTAATGATAAATTGGTCAGAGAAGGCCATATCTCCCATATACTTCCCAGGTGAAACATTTGAAGCACCACTGCAAACCCTGTCAAGTAAAGCGGGTCTTATTAACTTTCCTATGCTGAAAATACAGAGCAGTGTCTGATTATTATGAGAATTTTTTTAATTTGATTGCGTTCCTTTTATATATTGTGAAAACAATAATATGTCATGCAAATGTTGTAACCACATTATATAATCAGTAAATATATATTATTAAATGGCAACATGCCAAAACCAGTTTGGAGAGTGAAGGCAGACTTTTAATGCAATGTAATGCATGCTTGACAGTACATGTTTCTCTTATATTGTCATATAGATTTTGAAATATAAAAACAGTTTTACAACATGGAAACCTCATGCTATTCTAAAGGATTATTTTGAGTCCTTTCCAGAGGTTTTTTTTTTTTTTCTTTTTACCTGTAGCTCATACTTTAGAAGACTTAGACACTTTTCTGCCAAATGCCCCGATTCAGACGGAAACTGTCAGTTCTGCAATAAATGTACAGACAGTCGGCTCATGGAAGACACTCAAGTCAGCTCAGCTCAGCACTTTACACAATGTAAGTCCAGTCTGGGTCATTCCAGATGTCAGAACACATAGATAATCTCATCAGCCAGCCAGCCACTAATCCATACAGTTTCCAGTCTTCGTGTAACATTACAATGCTGATAAGCAGGCAGTCTGTGGGAATTAATGAAAGGCATAGATTAAAACACAAAGGAAAAAAGACAAGCAAAACACCATAACATAAGGCACTTTAAATAATGGAAAAGGTAGGGAAAAAAAGTTTGTTTTATTCTTTGTTGCTTCACCATTTATGTCCACGTCTGTCTTCACCTGATAGAAAGAGTGGCAGTAAAAATCCTGGATAAAGTGCGTTTGGAAAAACGCTCGCAGGCTCTTTTTGCCTCTGAAATCTCTTGCATGGAGAAGCTGGCCCACCCCAACATAGTGCGCCTGTTTGAAGTGGTGGAGACGTTTAAGCGGCTCTACCTGGTGATGGAGTATGCCAGTGGAGGGGAGCTGTTCTCTCGGATCAGCAGCAGAGGGCGCCTGTCGGACCTGGAGAGCAAGCTGGTGTTTTCACAGGTCCTGTCTGCAGTGAGGCATATGGTGAGTCTAAAGAAGTCTTCTGGTTTGATGATTTTTAAAGCATCATTTAAAAACTTGTTAATAGGTTATATGTTTGTTTGTTTTTTTTAATTTAAGAGCTGTTGTGTCTTGTAACTTAGAATTTAGAGATCTTTAAAATGTTGTGCAGTAGAGCTAATTAAGTTTCTAATTCCCCTCTAATGACACCAAATGAAATCTAAAACATGTATTTGTTTTTTCCCCTTTTCCAGCATGATAATAATATTGTCCACAGGGACCTTAAGGCTGAGAATGTCTTTTACACCAACACCTTCTGCATTAAAGTGGGTGACTTTGGTTTTAGTACATCTTGCTGCTCCAATGACATCCTCCACACATTCTGTGGCTCACCGCCATATGCAGCCCCTGAGCTGTTCAAAGAGAAAGGCTACATTGGTCAATATGTCGATATGTGGGCATTGGGTGTGTTGCTCTACTTTATGGTGACTGCCACGATGCCATTCAAGGCTACTAACACCGGCAGGCTGAAGTGCTGTATCCTGCAGGGCTCCTATTCCATTCCCCCCTACATTCCACAATCATGCCAGGACATCATTAAGGGCCTCTTAAGGCCAGTTCCTGTAGATCGCCTCACTATGGCACAGATCATGGCCAGTGACTGGATGAGAGGCATCGAATACCCCCAGGCCTTCCCTGCCTGCAGAACCACACCCTATCATCTGGTTGAGTCTAACTGCATCCTCACCTCTGATGAATTACATGTGAAGGCCATGCTGGAGGATATTGGCATCACCAAGGTCCATCTTCTCAATAACAATATCGACTTGAGAAGCCCCATTACTGGGACCTATCGGATTTTGCTACATCGAATCCAGAAGAGGAGCTCTGTGGAAGCTGTGGGTTATATCCCGACATGCACCAGTGAATCCCAGAACAGACTCAAATGGAGAGCTGGCTCAGATGGCCTGCTAAACAAGCGCCACTCTGTAGTCTGCATCATCATGTAGTTTAGTTTCTAAAAGAAATAGTTCAACCTTTTGGAAAAAATGGTTATTTACATTCTTTCTGAAATGAGACAGTTGAAACCACTTTCATGTCTGTGCTTTAAGTATGAAGTGAGAGTTTAACATAGCTACTCTAGCTCTCACTAATTAATATGTTGTGTCCTGTTTATTTAATCCATACACAAACAGCAATATCAATCCCAATTCTGTGGTTTTAGAGGAAGAGAGTTCTATAACAGCTGCTCCGTTGTCACATTAGGCTGCTAAAAGAGCAGTATGTGGTTTTATATTTGAATCTGGCTGTGAAAACATGGTCTCATGAATGCAGGTGTACACAGTGGCATACTCCATGACTGTAATTTGGCATCTTTAGTCCACTAAACTAACATCGAAAGAATTTAGAAAGTGAGCTGCTTTTAAACCAACTGAACATGAAAGTTACAATGAGGGCTGACAGTGACCCAGAATTCCACTTTCAGCATGGAAGCAGGAATGGGAAGGCATCTAACATTGTATAGACTTTATTGTGCTTGATTTTGTGAGATCATTATATCCAGTGTCCAGTTTTTTGGTTTTTCTTTCACCTTCTCCTAAAACCTACAAGTTATGTTTTGATCATTAACTGAGAGAGACACATCGAAATCAATACTGATATACTAACGATGAGCAAGACAGTTGTCCTGTTTGCCCGTCTCACCTCTTTATTTGAAAGAAAAAGTCCTAAAAAAGTAATAAAAATGCAGACGTTTCCCCCCCTCCCCCAAAAAAACCTTCCTGAGCTTTTCTTTAAATGAGAATCAGATTTTTCTTTTTATACAGGAAATGTTTGATTAATGAAATAATTTATTCTGAACTGTGAATTTTGTACTCCAGCATGTCTTTATGTGTTCATATGTACAACATCTGTACTGTTTTTAAAATAGCAAATGCATTTTTGCACTTTAAAACAATTTCATTTTGCTTTTAAATGTATGAAAGTGAATCACCTTAGTCTGCCATACAGCACATGTACTGATGAATAATGACAGCACTCACTACAGTCATGGTCCTAAATATTTCTGTCACATATTAGAATAGTATATTTGATTCACTGCATTTACAGCTCAGGGTTATGGCACGTTTTGATATTAGATTAGGTTGTATAAAATATGGCAATAAACATATGTCATTTCCAATTTACTTTGCGGTGTGTATTGTTTTACAACTGCTTTCATCTTTCTTTTTATTTGTTTCCCCTTTTTATTTCACCTTCATATGAACTATGATTTATACTTCCATCATACCAAACAATCTTGGTGCCAAACTACCAGAAGACATGAAAGTCTCTTTGCTTGCCTTTTCATGCCTCCCATAATATTTTCTACATTTCTTTCTCTACTTTTCAGTCTCCATCACCTTATTGCTTGTAATTCATCACATTTGTTTCATTGTAAAGTAAGTTTTGCATATTATTTTCATACTTTGCTTTCATGGTTTTTCCCCTTGATATAAAAAGGATGAAATGTCTGCAGCCAACTAGACAGTCTTTTCTACCCCAGCATGCAGAAACAAAGCACACACCCTCCTTTGTCATTATTGTTGTGATATATAAAGAAAAACACAGCGTCAGCACCAAAAAATCCTTTTTAAGCTGCAACCCCATTCTGTCACCTCAGAATGTGGTGCATCTATTAGTCATACTCAATGCCATTTTGAATGTCCATCAAAATTTTTTAATATCATTAATGTCTTAGTAATTATTAAGCATTTGTCAGCCTATCCATCCCCTTTGGCTCTGAGGGAAGTTGGCACCACATTCAAACAAATACACCAGTTGCATGCATTGAGGATTATCTCCTTTAAAACAATAATTGCCCCACTTTAAAAATGCTTTAACAACAATACAATTAATCTCACTTTTCTCACGTGTGCATTAGCTGAGAAGTGTTCAAACCTTTGCTTTAATCAACAAACATCAGATATTTAACACAGTGCACAGGCCTGCAGGGGCATACACTTTTTCTATTCAGACATATTTTTAACAAACACTTTGTCTCATCTTGCTATTTGCAAGATGAAGCCTCTCCAAGGCACCAACGTGTGGAAGTCATCAATCTCCACCGACAGCAAAGTCAAACAAGCTGAATTACGATCAGTGAGATTTTATCAGCTGCAAGCCCCGGCAGTTCTTGTGAATGTCCATGGTGATGAGAGCGAAACACACACAGATCAGTGAGTGAATCCAACACGTTGTCAGATAAAATACTGTTGTAAATCATCACTGGTACAAGTACTTTCATTGAGGTTTTGCCTGTGCCTGTGTTCTTTCTGCAGATTTTTTCCCGCTGTACTACAGTATTTAACTCTTTCACTTGTACTGGTTTCATTTGTTATTTGTTGGATCTAATTAGTTCTTCATTCTGTGCAAATCAACACAAATACGAAAAAATAAAGAATGTAGTTGTAACGTGTGTAAAGCAGTGAATGTATCGCTTCCACACATGCTTTACTATATAGGACAGAATTTTTTGGATTGAAACATCATAGTTTATTGTTGTAGTTCTACTTCTTGGACCTAGTTTTTCACGTCTTGTAAGGCGAGGCTGGTTATAAGTCTTCTAAATTAAAAGAATCATGTTTTTTTTTTTGTTTTTTTTTTTTTATTTAATTTTTTTTTTTTTATTGTGTGTACTATATTTAAAGTGACACTGCAGTCAAAATTACCAATTCAAACTAGCTGATGCAAAAGAAGTCTCATAAAAACCTAAAGAGACCAGAGATGTGCAGGTAAATATTTTAGGACGATAAACATTTTCGATTGTTAATATGTTCTCGTGCTTTGTATTTAAACTATAACCACATATTGTTGAGTTTTCATCACGTCAAATCATTTTCAGAAAGGCCTTTTATCAATGTGCAACTCAAGCTCATGCTCTTAAAATTCAGTATTTGTATGAGAAACGAAGAAGAATGTGTCATTTTCCCCCTTTTTCACATATAACTGAAGCAAAAGGAAAATTAAAAAAAAAAATAAAAAAAAACTTATATGAACATAATCATAAACTTTTAAACACCACTGTGTGGGGAGGGGTAAGAAAGTAATGCTTTTATTGGAACATATTCACTGTAATAAAACCTGTACACAAAATGAATTTAAAGATAGACATTCATACAGTTTACAAGAACTTAAGACAGATCATTTCTTTTTCTATGACACTCAATTCAAAGATTAACTTATATAAAACAACTGGTGTATTCACATAAACATTTTCTAGTGTTTCACTGCACACATTATGGAGTAAATAGCTACCCTAAATGTTACACGTCATAACCACTCCATCATCACTTCTATGATTAAACAACTTATTGAATATCTGATGTCTGAAAAGGCAAGAAAATAGTCACAAATGTTTTCACTGAAGAGCCATGCATATAAAGGTATTATATGTGTTAACTGGTGGCCATTTGGCTTGAAGAGCCCAACCCAGAAGAAGTTCTGCTGAAGCTCTACACAAGCTTTTGACCTTTGTCTGAGTGCAGAGTGAAAGCAAAAGTAATGCTACAAGAGTTCCTTGAACAACCTCCTCACTTAGCTTCCAGTAAGCCACCATAAAACTGCCATAAAAGCGCTTGTTGCTTAATAATAACATGGCAGAGGGCAGAGGGAATGATGAACGATTGCAGCAGGCAGTCATCTCAGCCTCTGTTCGAACGGAAGGGCTGTGAGAAACAAAGACATCTGTTTAAACATCAGTTGACACTTTTTCTTTCTTTTCTTTATTTTTTTTTAAATTAAGGAACAACACTATCCTATCCTCAGATCAATAACTGTTCTGTACCTTTCTGGGGGGCTTCCAGTTCTTTTCATCAATCCTCTTCATCAGGTCTATGACCCATTTTTCTTTGGGGTCTGTGCAAAACACTCGTCCCCTCCTCATGGTGAAGCTGAAGGATAATTCATAGAAAATAAGTAAGTGTTACAATAAGATCAAGTCAGTTTTAAAGTGGACGTTGTTATTGTCTGTCCATTTGTACCTACATTATAGCTGGGATGTTACAGCCTCCATCTGGCTTCTGCTCTCTGTACTTCACTGCGTGTCTTCGAGTACCGTGTCTCAGTTCCCTCACATACTTCAGACAGCAGTCATCATAGGACACTGAAAGATCACAAATCCAGTACAATTTAATGTCCCCATATTAAGAACAATGTAATACTCTGTTGCCCATAAAGTTGAAATAAAACATATTTTTGCCTCTTCTTGTGAAATGATTGTGACAACACGATTTATTCTTGAAAGATAAAGTGTGTATCTTCTCAAAACTTTATTGATATCACGACATACATACAATACATATCACAGTAAAAATTAAACCACAATTAACTTTTGCAAACTGTGTATTCAGGCTTAAACTAAATTGGGGGTATTGAACAATAGGATTAGGAGTTTTGTTTTTATTTTTCAATCTTGGTCACTTTAACAGGAAACGCACATTCAAGGGGATTTCATGCATAAGAATGTCCAATATTACTCTTTCAAATGTCACTCAGTCACTAATATTGAGTATGACCACCCCTGACACGGATCAATGTGTTAAGACATCATGGGCAAATAGAAACAAAAAGAGGAATATGTCTGAAAACAAAAATTATTCCAACTTTATGGGCAACAGCGTAATTAGCACAGCTTGTGCAACCTGAACAAGTCAGTCTTTCAGGTATACAATGAGGCAACACCCACCCATGCAGGTACTTAAGCAATAAACCACCTTCATTGACCCTTACTTTATCTTTTTTATGTGTTTACAGATCTTTATTGCATGCAGCAAATGTCACAGATACCAGCTGTTCTTTACACTTACGTACCTTGTGCCAATGCAAGGCAGAGACAAGAAAGGACCAGCACGAAGAACAGCGTGTTGAACCGCATGATGAAGTCTACAGTGGCAGCTCTGAAAGAAGACACAAAGAATTACATTTTTTACCCGCAATCAGCCTTATCACTTAGTGATATTTGTACCACAGCTCCTCCCAGACTGTCCTCATTCACATCTGAGAGCTTGAACCTTACACAAATATTTTCCATTGGCTACCTTTGTGTTGTCGCTATGTATCTAATACATTTAATCTTTTCAATTTGACAGCTCAGACTGGCAGACAAATCACTCACTCTCCTTTGCAGTAGAGGATAAATTGGCTCTTATTGAATAAGGCAGTTATGCTTCTTATGCAAAGTAAGTTCTTAATTAATACACTAACATTTGATGTCTGTAAATGTTAAGTATAATTCTGACTTTTTAAAATGTTATTTTATTGCTTTTAAAAATACACAAAATTCTAGAAATTAGGATAGATCAGTATCCACTCTGAATCCTTATTTTATCCTCAAAGTATATTTTATTTTATGCCCTAAAATCTGCTTTTCATAACAAAATGTAAACTGTTAACATAAAGCTGTCTTCAAATCTGCAGATTAGAATTTGGCACATTTAAATCACATTAATGTCAGTTCATTAGCGCTTTCTTTGCTAAAATAAAGTACAGTGAAGAAAAGGTGCAGATGATACAAAACCTATTGAAACTATTTACAATCACATTAGAGGAAACCACAACTATGTACTAACAGCGTGCAGGGTCTCTCTGACAAAATGACTGGCTACTCACCTCCTGTGCTCCAGATGCAGCTTCTAACTCTCTAGTCTTGTGTCTGTCAACCTGTGCAGGCACGACACTTATAAAGCCCTGGGAGGCATTTTGCCAGGGATCATATTTCCATAAACATAACTCACCTTTGTACCGTTCTTAAGTTTCTTCTTCTTCTTCTTTCTATTTTCAACTCAACATTGACGCGCTGATGTGTTTTTTTAGGTGTGTCCCCTGATGGACACATGAAAGATTTTGTGTGATGCTGAATCAAAAACTTTCTCTTGTCTGCCACCCCCTCTTCCCATGTAAAGTTTTCATCAAAAGAAAGTTGGATGTATTTGTAAAACAAGCGCCATTAGAAAGATTTTGTGCAATGACAGCTAAATGCTTAAAATTTTGCGAGTGCAGTTGCATACGAGCAACATGCATGCATGTGATGGAGGGACGTCGCATATATGTCTTTATTAGACTATATATCAGTTTAGAAATTGGAAAATTCCAAGTCCTATCATAGAATTAGCTCAATTGTTGCATAAGGTTGTTGCAATTGGCCTGTAAACTCTTTGAAAGGTTTTAACTGCCCCTCACACTGACAGTTACATATTGAGAAATACTGAGTGTTCCATAATGGCTGTTGAATGAAGGCATCAAGTGCACTCATTCTTGCATAACTTGTTCTCAGCTCTTATCCAAAAAGTCCTGCTAAGGCTATCAATCGACTTAGGATCAGCATTTAACAACATTTTTGGCATTATAGACTCAACAATTGAACTTTTGTGCTAAGATGCAGTTGCTGAGAAGCATCTGACATTGCACAACATGCTCAACATTGCAGTGGATGAGCTACAACAGCAAAAGCCCACTTTGAGTTCCACTTCTGGAGTCAAGTACGGAAATCTGAGGCCCCTCACAGTTGAAGACTAGAAAAATTTTGCGTTCTCTGATGAATCTCCACTTCTGCCAATACATGCAGATGGTAGGCCCAAAAGCTGGCGTCAACAGCATGACTCCATCCACCAGTTGTGTCTTGTGTCAGAAGCCCAGGTTGGTGGTGCTGTGATGGTTGGAGAATATTTTCTTGCTGTACTTTGCTTTACTTAATACCAGTCAATCATTGCATGAATACCATAATTCTAACTGTGTGTATCCTATTATGGCCACAATTTATCCGCTTTCTAATGGTTACTACCTGATATGCACCATTTCATGAAGCAAACGTTTTCACAGATTGATTTCATTAAAAATGAATGGGAGAATGGGAGATTTGAAGAATGAACATGCATCCAACAAAGCTGCAGAAATGATGTGGTGCAATCACATCATCGTGGGCCTGCATCTGTTTCCAACATCTTGTGAAATCCCTAAAAAACTGAAACTGTTTTTAGGGCAAAGGTGGGCCTACTCGGTATTAGTGAGGCATTTCGAAAG